GGGCAGTGCTGCCCCCGAAGCCGCAGCCACTGCCCCCAGCCAGCCCCTCTGCAGCCCAGCAGTGAGCCTTCCTCTCCAGGGCTCTTCCTCACTGCTTCCCCTTCTGCTTTTGAGTACAGGAACAGGCAGGCGAGGGCTGGCAGGAATTGAAATTTGCTTTTGTTTCTGAGGAGTGCTGAGCTGGCTCGGAGTGGGGGGTGTTATTCATCGTTACTTCTGTCATCAGCGTTACTGGGCTTGAGCGCAGCCTCGTGTCCGGCAAACCCACAGGAGGGGCTTGGGCCACCTCTTCTGGTGCTTGGAATGACACCTTTGGGTGCCCCAGCACACCACTCCCACCAACACACCGTTCCCCGTAACACAGCTGGGCAATGATCGTCACAGAAGGTGACACAGCCATACCCAGTTCATTCCCAAAGAGGGAATACACCATATTCCCAACTATACTAGCATAGCACGTTTCTATACAGATTCAACAGCATCACAGCCTGGGGCTGTACTGCTTCAGTTATCTTAAAAAAAGAAATTACATGCTAAAAATGAAAGCTGTTGTATGTATATCAAGGCAGCACCCAAACTAAAGAATTTCAAGAGTTGGAGGGGCCCAAAATAGGCAGGCTGCACACAGAACATGTGTGGCTTTCTCCCTAGACGTGCACCCTTCCATCTTCTCCCGGTCAGCTCCTGCTACTCTTCTCTCAGCCCAGGCAAAGGGCAGGCATTTGCCCCAGCCTTGTAAAGAGAGAGGAAAAACAGCCACCAGAAAGAAAACATTTCTTATGCCAAAGAGATTATAATGATACCTTTCACAGCTCTGTGACAGAGTTTGAAGTTTGTCCTGTATTGCCTGCTCCTAAAATGTAAGAAAAAGTCATTTAAGTAAATACATTGTATTGGCAAATGAAAAACACCTTTAAGAAAGGTTTTGCTGTTGAGACACCAGTAATAGTAAACCACTCTGTTTCACCAATTCTTGGAACTCGGAATTAAAATAAATGTCCCATTTTACCCTCCCAACATTACTTCTGTCCAAAGCATCACTATGTGTGCACAAGCACTTTTTAAGACAGAGCCACTGATCTGCTAGTTCCCTTCTGCTGCCTCTAAAGCAGAAGAGGTGGTGAAAGAAACCAGTTCTCACCACAATGGATAAACTCAGTTGCAGGACAAATCCACATCAGCACCAACCTAATTTTTTTTTTTTTTTTTGAATGGCTGTAACGTATAAGCTACTTTGCTTCATCGCTTTATATAGTTTCCTGAAATATGTTAAGTATTTTCACTGCACTTAGCGTATTCTGAAAATTTCTGGGGAACTTGCAAATAAAAGATGAAAATCCATCATTTAAAAACACCGCCCTCACATCGTGTCCTCTTGCTCTCTACAAAGCAGAAATTTTCCCAAAAAAGCTTCCTTCTTCACCAGTTGCAATGCTAGGACAGATATCAACAGCATGACTTTCACATCGGGGGGACCTGTTTTCACAGAATTTGTGATGGCAATGCCACTGGCACCGCTGTAATAAAATTACCACGTACGTACACAGACACACACCTCTACGTGTATATAACTGTGCGTGTATATACACGCTAACCAAATATATTCATAAATATGTATAATTTTATACATATTTATATATATTTACAAACGTATGTCGATAAAATATTTCTATAGACACACACCTAGAAACAAGCCCCTCAACTGTCATCGCTACATCTTAAGCTCACAGCAGTTGGTAGACCGGAGGTAAAAGCTTAGCGGTTAACCAGTCCACCCCACTCGTTGCCACACATACGCCATGCCAAGCTTGGCTGCAGTTTCAGTAAAACCGCAAAATTAATGAACAGTGAGAACACAGACATAATATATCTGAATTTTAGTAACGCACTTGATCAGTGCCTTACAAAATCTCATTTGCCTGACTGGTTTGGGTGTGAGCGCTGCTGCACATTGAAACAGAAGATACAAGATAAAAACAGTATGGCAGAGTAGCAACAAAATGGAGTGTTTTGAATATATACAGATATGAAACTCCTCTTACACCCAAGAAAACCTTAGCAATATATGTCATAAAATCAGCATGGGGAGCTGATCAATTTGATCAATTTGATGATACTGGATTGATTTGTTAAATTGAAAGAGAGAAGGGAGTTAACTCACAGATGAACTATGAGAAGCAAGTTAGCAAAACAGAGGTTAAATGTTCTGAGGGATATAGTAAGGTGACAGGACAGACATGTGCCTCAGTGGGCAGGGGTTTCTCAGGTAACATAGGACAACTTGTATCCCCCATATCACACTGCACATTATTGTTTATTCCTCTTTCCAGAATCCCTAATGGGACAGACCCTGCATTGAAGGCTGTAGCTCTGGCATCAGCATCGACCCTGACACAAGCTGTGCACATGAAGAAAAGGCAACTGGAGAAGAAACACCTTCAGTAAGAGATGTGCCCACCACCACCAGGCTTTACTGGGGGATTCTGCAAGTGAAGCACTATAGATGGGTTCCACCACTTCTGCTGCATCTAACCTACAGGATACGGAAATTCACCAGGAACCGTCCTACATCCCACCATGAGTATTCATTTGACAAGAATCAGACTGCCACTAGGACAGGCAAAATGAGGAACTAGAATCTAGTTTTAGCATCAGCAGCATCCTTACTGAACATCTTCTGGAGGAGGAGTTAAGCTGTGCCTCTAACGAATCTCCCAGGCTGTACTGTGTAGTCCAGGCATGCAGCGAGTACATGGAAGCATGGATAAAACCAAAAGAGATTTAGTTGGAAAAGATGGAAACTGTTACTTTGGGAGGAAAGGTAGGTCAGAACAGAGAGCCTCAAGAGGAACAATTCTGAAAGCAGAATTGCTGAGGGACATTTCCATTCAGGAGTGGAGAACAAATTAGACTTCTTTACTGAAATCCAGTGCAAATGCCCAAACCTTCATTTTGCTTTGCTTATGGATATCTGTTAAAGAGTTGAAGAGGAGGAAATGTTCTGTGACATTCTGCCAAGACTGAAGGTTAAACAATCATGGGATTGGAAAGAAAAGTCAAAATAGCAGACAGGAGGAGCTGACATAAAGCTGATAAAGAAAACCAATAAAATGTATCTTGCTTATGTGTGAATATCTGAAGAAACAAAAATCCCAGGGCTAGACTAGAATTCAGGCAATACGGGAGGATACAACGCTAAATGAAATGGGAACAAGGCTCAAGGTGAGGAGCATGAAGAGCTTTTACACAGTGAAGAATCTGATAATGAAGCAGTTTCTTAAGGCAAATGATGGTTTGCTGCACAAGTGCTTGAGACATTGAAAACAAGACTGGACAAAACACGGATGAAACTCTACGGAACAGCTTCCTACGGACCCACAACACTTAAAGGAAGTAATTTCTAGCTTTGTGTTTGTGCTCAGCTACAGACAAAGAGGAACTTGGTCCTGTTGCCTCGTTACTTCAAGGAGACATTTCACAAGGTACAACATGCAGCCTCCAGCTTCATTGGAAATAGCCAATTATTTGCTGACCCAGCGTTGCTAGCATCTAGGATGAGCAGCTCTACATGGTGAGGGGGAATAGTCTCCCTTGTGAAATAAACCCATTATTTCACAAGGGAGTCATTAAGAAGGTTAAGCGTGCAGCTGGTGAGTTACTTCAGAGGAAACGGCTCTACTACCTCTTGAGATGTCTCCGTGCCTGCCTGGAGAGCTGAGCAGGGAGCTGGGAGCTGCTGACCCAGCGGCTGGGAAAGATCGGGCTGAAGCTGCAGCAGAGCAGAAGGCTGAAGAGGCAGACAGTGATCTATGGGGACAGGCGGACTAGCCGTGGCAAGGCTGCCATGAACCTGGGAAACGCCTTCTGGAGCGCCGCGGGGAGGCAACAGCTCGGGCTGCAACTGCAAAGGCGGTGACATGACTATCGAAGGTTGCACGGGCAGCACCTGGGCTCCAGTTTCCAAAGCGTACTGAGTGTGTCCAGTCATCTGCTGCAACACAACAGACAGCTATTAAAACAAACGTCTACTTAGGCCGCCAGTGATTTACACGACAAGGTACTAACGCCACAGGAGTCCACAGAAAAAGGATTAAGATGTGGTGCCGAGGGACATGGTTTAGTGGTGGGTTTGGCAGTGTTACGCTGATGGCTGGACTTAATGATCTTAAAGGTCCCTTCCAACCTAAACAATTCATGGAATAACAGAATGGTTTAGGTTGGAAGGGACCTTGAAGATCACCTAGTTCCAAGGCCCCTGCTATGGGCTGGGACACCTCCCGCTAGCCCCATCCAACCTGGCCTCGAACATCTCCAGGAATGGGGCAGCCACAGCTTCTCTGGGCAATTTGTTCCAGGTTCTATGATTATAACTCTGCGGTGAGACTGCACTTGTGTGGTCTCTGCTTGGAAATGTAACTCCTTAAGGGTTTACACTTGCTTTGAAATGACCAAATAAAAACCTAAGGATTCCTCCTATATCATCATGACAATGTGTGTATTGCTATTTAATTCAGGTGCTATTAACAAAGCCATATTTTGCTAAGAAATTAAAATTTTAGATTATGAATTCTTTGTCCTGAATAGTTTGCTCTGCTTTCAGTGAGCCTACCACAACGTCCATGCAAAGACCCATAATCTAAATTAGGATTTTTTAAAAATCTGCTATATATGTAGAACCAGTAGCTGGTATAGACCACACAATTAACTCTTTTTTACTACCATATATACCAGTAACCATATAACCATATACCAGTAACCATATACCATATAACTCTTTTTTACTACCATATATACCAGTGTCCCACGGAACATATTGTTTCCCATTTAGTTTAATCATTGAAGACACAACTTAACTCTTGCCCCAGTCCTGCAAACGCTTCCTCACGTTATGCACCCAGGGGAAGTTTCATTTATCTCAGTGGATTTCTTTAGCGCATTAAAATAACTCGTGTGTGTAAGCGCTTTGTGGGAACTGGACTGATGCGATTATATGCCAGCTACCTCAGAGACTATGCTGTTATCCTGCATAAATGTACAACTCGAAAGAACTGTTAAGAACAGAACGTTCTCCTTTTAGCTACATCATGTATTTTTCCAAGGGGACTGAGCTTGTGGGAAGGGAAAAAAAGGAAAGAAAGGAAAATATGGAAGAAAAAAAGTATCATCACCTAGAGACTTAAGACTATTTGGAGAATACATTAAAAAAAATAAATCAAGACTTGGATGAGAATTAGGCCATACAATTTCATTACTGCATGCTCTCTGCAGATTCTGGATACAAGCGGAAATTGTTATTCCAGGTTTTAATGCGGATACAAATAAAGATGCAACGTGCTTCGCAACACAACAACTGCATGACTGCCTAAGTGGAGGTTGTTAGAATAGCAACTGTGGTGTACATTGCAGAAGCGCAGTGAATTATATTTTTTTTTTTTTAAATCTTACATAACTTGAATAATTCACAAAATATTTCAATGTATAGTTTACCTGGGCAAAACTAAACTCAGAGGTGCTAAACATCAACTGCCAAAACAGCACTGCGTTAGAAAACCTCTATTCACAGAAATACCTCTCTATTGAAAGTACTTGAAAACACAGAACAACGTATTTTTTAATATTCCTCTGCACTTGTCCATTCTGTTTTTAATTGCTATAATTTAACCTAAAAAATATTACTATGCAATTCTTCCATACGTACTTGATAGGTAATGACTGTGTCTGGATGGTTTGGGAATATCGGTTCTCTAGTTTTGCTGTTTGCCATGCTTGCTGTGCGTAACAGGCCGGACCCAATTCCTACAGCTAATGAGCTCAGCAGTAACTGTCTCGGGCTCTGTGTTGCCTACATTTTCACAAACACTAATTCTGTAAAATATATGCCTGAAGAGAGAAATTTCAAAATGATGTACTACTTTGAAGATGCCATGATATGGCAGGTTGAAATGGGATGTTATGAATTTTAATCAATATGTTACGGCAAAGTGTTGTAGTAGAACACAAATTTTCAAGAACGCTATCATTAACAGATTTAGTGCTCTCTCCTGCTTGGGTCAGACTGCATTTCATGTTGTCATATCACAGATGTGGCAATAGCAGTATTTACAGACTCTGTCAACAAGTCCTGAACAAGTTCTCTTGTAAACAGGGCTAATATTAGAAGCTCCATTTGATGCTTCATTTCTTTGATAAGGAGGAAAGGGTCTGCAGCTAGAACTCATTCTTGCCTGATAGACCTCTTCCATGCAGTATTCTGGAGTTGTTATCGGATGGCCATTTCCCTTTACCGTTTTAAAGTGGTTCTACACCAAAACAAGTCCAGGGGCACGCAACAGCCTACGCAGTGTGCACAGACCGGGGTGAAGGCATCTGCAAGGCTCTTGGCTGCTCTTCTCCCACCCCAAGAGAATGACAACTCACGCTTCTCTGGTTTGAGATGGGAGAAGGGAGAGGGAATTCCAAAAGTGCTCTTGGCTGCTCACTTTCCAGCCCCTACATCCTCGATATTCACTTCTGCCTGCATTGAAGACCTCCAGACCTGCCCTGCTCCAACTGCCTGCACAGCACTAGCAACCACCTCCAGGACCAAGGTGGAGAAGTTAACAAAGCATCCAAAAGAGCAAGGAAAAAACCAAACAAACCCCAAACCTCCCTGCTGCCTGTTGACACCAGAGTGAGCCCCAGGAATTTTTTTTTGACACCCCCCTCCCCCACCCAGCAGATTACCTGGTGACCAGCCCCAGGCGCAGACAGAGCCTGTTCTGCCGGATGAATGACGCTTGGCTGAAGCGACTGAGGAGGTGGAGGTTGCGTCGGCTGGGACACTGCTTGCGTGCCCTGCGTGTGATGGGGAGAGGGCGCTTCGCTCTGAAGGAGCTGCTGGAAGGTGGTCTGGTACATCTGCTGCTGGGGCAGCGGGGGCACCCCGGGGTGCGGCGGCAGCGCTGGCACTCCCGGCGGAGCCACAGCAAGCAAGGGGATCGTAGCAGCTGACATATTTGGCACTATTGTTTGGCAGGGCAAGACCAAAGAAGCCACGGTGGTGTGAGGAAGATTGACTGCCTGCATGGGGAGGGCAGGGGAGTTGGGCGCCATAGGCAGAGCGGGGTTCATGGGGAGGCTGGGCAAAATCACGGCTGGAGCGAAATACTGTGAAGGAGCAGGGATGGGGGGCACGTTTGCAGCAGGTATATCAGAGAGGTTTGGAGGAAGGCTGTCAAGTCCTGCCAGAGGAGTAATTGCAGGAATGACAGGAAACTGAGGAATCTGAAAAAAAGTATAATACCACATAAATTGCAAGCGCTTTCACTGATGGTACAAAGTAGTTTCATTTGCCATACAAGTATGCAAAAATCACCTGTGCCATGATGATAATTATGTCTGTTTGTTAATCACTTCCATTCATTTCCTGAGGTTCGTAAACACAGAAGTAAAAACCAATTTATGCTTATATCATTAGCAAAAGAGAAAAAAAAAATCCACTTTGGGGGGACATTTTCGTACCTTAGAAGCTTAAAACTATTTCTAACGCTAGCTTGAAGCCTTCAAGCAACACACTAATTAAAAGCTGCTTTCATTTTAACGTAAATGCAAAGGGACTGGACCAGACAAGATGCAAAACTCTTCCATGCAAAATTCAGTAAGGCAATTCAAAACCCCTGTCTTTAAAAAGGCTGGCTGCGACCCAGGCAGCACAGGAGATCCCTTAAAAGGGTTTTCACAATCATAAACCTCTCAGTGACATAGCAGACTAACTACCCTGTCATCATGGGAGCAGCTTGCTTCTTCCCTTCGGGACAAGCTGCTTCACTTCGCGGTGGCTGTCACTGGCCAACACGCTAAATAGCACCACCAAAACCTTCCCGGCCAAGGAAAGGGTCCGTCCCTGCGACTGGAAACAGAAAGGGGGCTGGGAGCCGGGGAGGGGGGCAGGGGGTTGGCGGGGAAAGTGGTGAAGTTGGGAGCTCGGAAACAGGGCGGGGGGGAACGGGCAATTTCTCATGCTCTGAAGCCTGGGATGGGGAAGAGAGTATGCCGGGGGGAAGGTGCAAAAACAATGAAAAATTAGAGAAAAAACTGCAGTTATTGCAATTTGGTAACTGCCACTAACTGGATTCTCTAGGCATGACACAGGATTACTCACAAAGGAGGTTTTTGCTTCACCAAACAAACAAATAGTAAAGAAAAACACAGGAATTAGGAAAAAAGCTATATTCTTATGGACTAATTAAATTAGCATGCAGTCAGAATAGCCACACACACACACAAAAAAAATCAACCTTGCAGGTCATGTCAATTATTAGCTGGAAAGCTTTACTCAAATGCATGTATTCACACACAGTTTTCAGAGACGTTACCTGTGAAGGGGCCACTGGCGGCAGCTGCGGCACTGTTGATATCTGAAGGGGCTTTAGGGGTGTACTGCTGGCGGCCACCTGAGAGGTCTGGGGCTGGTACTGGGGCAATAAATGGGCCGCAGGCTGGATTGGGCAGACTGGCTGGCTGGCAAGCACCTGCTGCAGAGAGGCTTGCTGGGATATGGGTTGCTGCCGGGAGAGAAAAAAATTACCAAAAAAAAAAAAAAAAAAAACCAAAAAAACAACCCTCCAGAAAACCAAGGTTGTAGCTTTTATGTTACAACAGAAGCAGTTCACTGGACGCAGGTACCCATTTCTCACTCCGCACCACAAACAGGACTGTCGCTTAGAGTGGGGACAGTTTCTAGAAGAGAAGGGCGCTCCGAATTTAAACACTGTACAAGAGCCTATGTTTAAAAGACATTTAAATGCGAGTTATGTTACCTGAACAGACAAGTTCTAACTGTCTTGGAAAAGGTTATCTGTAATGACTCAGACTTTAAATCCCAGAGATGGTTCTAGTTGGCCCTCTAAAATCCTCACCTACTAACTTCAAAGATTCCTACTATGCAGATTATACCCAGCTAATCTTGGCATTCAAAAGCTGACTACAGAACATAGCTGGCATTGAAATATACAACACTTATTATCTGAGACATGAATAAAACACAGTAATTATAGTAACAGCTGGATCCCAGTTATTTCTGAGGGGCTGTAGTAACAACGTGGCAGCCAAAAAAGCCATTTTCCCCTTCCAGGGAAAACAGTGCTGCACCAGCCTGCCAGATGTCATACAGTAGAACAGAAATAAAAAGCAGCACTAAAGCTGAAAATAATCAGTAACAACGGTAATATTTTGCTTAGTGCTTTTTTAGTGGAAGGATTCTTCAACCAGTCGTTAGATATTAATACAATAAAACAGTAGAAGATGTATCAAGGAAGCAAGATGCCATCCACCTTTAAATAGCTAAAATTCAAGCATGACTGGTAAGCTCCCAGTACAGGGTACAAAAGGGAATTTGGTCACGGGTATCAAGCATTCGGGGCTGAATGCACTGAATGCCACAAGCAGTGCAAGACATGCTGGAGACAGCACTGGATAACTGCACAGCACCAGCTCCGCTCCTGCAGTGTTTATTAGAATCATAGCATGGTTTGGGTTGGAAGGGACCTTGAAGATCACCCAGTTCCACCCCCCTGCCCTGGGCAGGGACACTTCCCACCAGCCCAGGTCGCTCCAAGCCCCGTTCAACCTGGCCTTGAACACCTCCAGGGATGGGGCAGCAACAGCTTCTCCGGGCAACCTGCGCCAGGGGATCACCACCCGCACAGCAAAGAATTTCTTCCTCACATCTCATCTCAATCTCCCCTCTTCCAGTTTGAAGCCATTCCCCCTCGTCCTATCACTACATGCTCTTGTAAAAAGTCCCTCTCCAGCTTTCTTGCAGGCCACCTTCAGATACTGGAAGGGGCTCTGAAGGTCTCCCCCAAGCTTTCTCTTCCCCAGGCTGAACAAACCCAACTCAGCCTGTGCTCACAGCAGAGGTACTCCAGCACCTCTGGACCTCAAGACAGCCTTAGTCCTGTCTGAGGTATTCATCTTGCCACATTAAAAACAACAGAACAACGACATGGCTCTGTACTGCAGTTTCTGCCATTCCAGGTTTCGGGAAAGCAAGGGGATTTTACCCAGTTAAAATCCCAGACTCAAGGGAATGGCAGTGCCGGCGCAAACAGGAGCTCGCCTGGCACTGGTGATGAGACAGAGCGAACTGGCGGAGATGGAGCCCAGCGCCAGCTCTGCAACATGGGTAACTCCTGCCAGACCCAACCTGGCCTCAGGAGCAGGTCACTCACATGGGGCTGGGCTGGAGCTAATAACCCCAAAAGCACCCAAAGCCAGCTCAGGCCTCTCGCCATCGCTGGCTGGGTTAATCCCCAGCTCAGACAGGCTGCCCACAGATAACTGGGGATTGAGCACGCTGGCGTGGGCCAACCCGCCTTCCACTCGAGAGGACACTGCCTTAAAAGCAGAAAAAATGCACTCACAAAACTAGAGAAGCTTCCTAAAGCCTCCATTTCAAATTCAGCTTGTGTTTTACAACATGCTTGTGGATTGGGTGAGGCATAGGGAGGGGAAATCATCCAGATGAATTATGCTAACTTTGCCTCATTATAACTTTAACATTATAAATGCACAGACACCCAAATTGGGGGGGGGGGCATCTCTGCTGTGAGGAGAAGGCTGAGAGAGTTGGAGTTGTTCAGTCTGGAGAAGAGAAGACACCGGGGAGACATTAGAGCCCCTTCCAGTATCTGAAGGGGGCCTACAAGAAAGCTGGAGAGGGACTTTTTATAAGGCCACGTAATGACAGGACAAGGTGTAATGGCTTCAAACTGGAAGAGAGGAGATTTAGATTAGATATCAGGAAGAAGTTTTTCACTCTGAGGGTGGTGAGCCCCTGGCACAGGCTGCCCAGAGAAGCTGTGGCTGCCCCATCCCTGGAGGTGTTCAAGGTCAGGTTGGACGGGGCTTGGAGCAACCTGGGCTGGTGGGAGGTGTCCCTGCCCCTGGCAGGGGGGCGGAACTGGGTGATCTTCAAGGTCCCTTCCAACCCAAACCATGCTATGATTCTATGATTCATACAAGATCTATACATTTCATTTTCTTCGGCAGATGAATTTTCTCACCCGGTTTCCCATTCTGTTGCTGACCTGCCCTACTGCTCATTTACAAAAGACAGCAGATCTCCACTGCTCATGTCATCATGCTGGGACACTCCAGGAACACCAGAAGTACTTCTGCCTCTGAGGCACACAGGTGCTCTGGGAAGTTCGGCACAAACTTTATCATTTTACCTATTTCTGTAATGATAATAATACTGTAAACACTCAGTTTTTTATTGCGCTTCATGGCAATATTAGAAAACAAAGACAGACTAGTTATTAAAACCTTTTACTATCAGGGATGGAATTATTTTAAGAGATAGCAACACTGTGAGGAAAGGGCCTGTGAAAGAAATGGAGGAAGTTGGGAAAACATCCTATTCCAAATCAGCGCTTACTTACTGGGGACAATAAACAAGATTTTGAACTGTCAGCATAAAGCTCCAGAGGCCACTGGAGAGATCTGTGAGATCCTAAATTTGCATAAGTGTAAAATTTTTGACTGAGAGAGCCATGAGAATATCCCTGCCCATTAAAAAAAAAACATGACATATGACAAAACTTCACATAAGCATATGTTTTTCAAGGAGACCAAATTACACTGTTCCTATGCTGATGCTTTCAGAAGACTAGGGCATGCTAAAAAAAATAAAATGCACCTTGCGAGATAAATGTTGGTAACTAAAAAGGTTTGGAGAGGTGCAATACATGCCAGTCACAAAGTAGACAGACACTCCCAGCCCCGTGAAAAGTTTCTACCAAGGGAAGCCGAGCTTTTGGTAGAATCACAAGAATGAGCTCTAAATTACCCTACCGTGCAGGTCTGGGGCTCACTGCCCCCCAGCCGACAGCACCTCTGCACCAGGAGGCGACCTCAACTGCTCCAGAGGTGTTTTGTAAATACCCTTAAGGCACATGGGTTTTGGGGGGAATTCGTAATTCAAAATGCACAAAGAATTGCTATTTGGAGACAATTCAGAGAGACAGACTCTTCTCCTGGAAGATAAAGCTCTTGGCTGGATGCCTACACTGAACTGTACTTCACGTGTGCGCACAACTCAAAACGCAGCACCGCTGAGGATTCAAAGACAACCAACACCAGGCAACAGTCTCCTTCTAACCGTTTAAAAAGGAGGTGCCAAATAATAATGCAAAATTAATAAAAACCTCTTTGATTTCTAAGGACCAAGACAGTACATTGAAATCAGTCCAAGGCTTCAAGCTGATGCTGAAAAGCCACAACAGAAGAGACAACATACATCAAGATGCTCTAAGGTACCACACAATGATTGTCATCAACCCGTTACTCTTCCATCCCTTAAACCCAACGCCCTTTGCCCCATCCCTAAGTCTCCCAAGTGGCAGTTCCATAGTTTCAAACCCCTCAGACTTGCTGTGGGCAGGGGCTAGAGCAGAGCACAGGCAAGGAACAGGAGGAGAAAAAGCATTTTTCAGCAGCAGTCACGTTCTCACCTGCTGGCCAGCCAGCACCGGCTGTGGCTGCCCCAGCTGCAGGGAAGCAACGGTAGTGGGCTGGACGACGGGGAACGGCATCGCCGGCTCCTGGTAG